AAACTCTACATGCCGATCTGTGCGGACCGTTTCCCAGTGGTGAAAGTCTTCTCGTCATGGTAGATACCTGCTCCCGTTGGCCAGAAGTACATGTTATGAAGAGTACTACGTCCACAGCTATCATAAAATGCACGAAGACCACATTTGCAACCCATGGAATCCCGCACGAAATTGTTACTGACAATGGACCACAATTCACCTCCGCTGAGTTTGGTACATACCTTTCCAATTGTGGTATTGTACACCGTAAAGTCACACCCTATTGGCCCCAGGCAAACTCCGAAGTAGAACGTTTTAACCGAACTGTAGAAAAAGCAATACGTGCAGCGAACGTCGAAGGGAAAAATTGGAAAGAAGAACTTGATGTTTTCCTACTGAATTATCGTTCAACTCCCCACTGTACAACCGGGAAACCACCTGCAGTTCTCCTTTTTGGCCGTAACATTAGAAATAAAATACCCGTGCCACCAACATCGACAACAGCTGATGACATACCAGTAACAGTTCGTCAACATGATCGCGAAAGAAAAGAGAAAATAAAGTCTTACGCTGATGACCACAACCGAGCTTCATCGTCTGACGTGAAAAAGGGAGATACGACGACCTATGATCCGAAGCCGTACATTGTCGAAGAAAAGAAAGGGCCCAGTGTGCTACTGAAACGACCCTTTGAACGACAGATTATGAGAAATGAAAGTATGACACGTAAGATTCCTGATGGAAAAGACGTCGCGGATGCTAAGAAAAGAGGACTCCAAAATTGCGGACAACAGGTCAGCGAAGAGAAGAAACATGAAAAGCAGAACGAGGTCAGCATAAGACCAAAACGGGCTAGACAGCCACCGGACTATTACGGACAGAGCTGATTGAAATTAACAATAATATTCGTTTATATTAACTGATTTCTTTATATTTAATAGTTCAATAAGACTGGTTGTGTTTCGTAAATATTAGACAAGTGCATTGACACTAACTCCAGGTAAAAGGAGGGATATAGTGTCCTGTGACGTAAGTAGTAACGACAGTAACACTGAGGACATTAATGATGCTTGGGGGTATTAGGGGTACTGAGTACTTCTAGTTTGCACGTTGTTTAGAAAAGCAGAGTGAGAATATATGAACGATATTGTGCGTGTTTTATACACTATACTCCCCTGTGACTTTATTTAGAGGGGAAAATTATCTATTGAGACGTGCAGTACTGGTGGGTCCCCTGAGACAGCGGTGGACCAAATGGGAGCGATCACTACCCCTTGAAGAGACAGTACGGTTATCTGATTCAACACCCAATCTACCAGCTGACTCCAGAGTTTACTAGAAAAATCGTACAAACTACAGAGATTCCATGTTGAAACGCTATATGGTGGCGTGCTGTTGACTATGGCTGCGGTGCGTGAAACCTATTGGGTCCCAACACTAAAGCAACTCGTGAAAGAAATTCGATCGAAGTGCTGGCGTTGTAAACGATTCACAGCAACTCCAGTCGTAAAGCCAATGCCAGGAAAGCTTCCCAGAGACCGTACATCAGGTGGAGCAGCCTTCGAAGTTATAGGCACAGACTTCGCAGGTCCAATCTACGACAGAGCCTCTAACAAACGTGCAGTCTGTCCAGAGCAGTACATCTTGAGCTAATTAAGAACCGCGAAGCAACTACATTCCTTCCGTGCTTGAAACGGCTGATGGCGGGCTCGACGCGGACGACCAAGAATAATCTACTCGGATAATGGAGCTGCGTTCGTCTTTTTTATAGAATCCCACGTTTCGTTACTGTATCAGAACTATCATTACACTTAATTAGGAAAATTCACGGTTAAAGTGTCCTGCATTTTGTCCCATTTCAACCTAAGCATATTTGATTCATTCGGTTTGACTCCCAATTGTTGCTTTGTATAAGATTGTTCATTTCCCTCAGCTGTCAAGTTCCGTTTTAGTTCCAATGTTCTTCTGCCTTCGAATTCCATTTGTGCAAGTTAAAGTTGGTGCCGTTGAATATCTCAATGGGCGATGACTTTCTCTTTCCGCTCGTGTGCTTGCTGGACGGTTTGTCCTCCGGTCAGTAAATCGTCTACGTAAAGGCTGCGACGTATCTCGGCGACTAATTCAGAATACTTATCCGCTTCCCACAGTGCAAGATGACAATCGATCACTGCCCCCAGGAGGAAGGGAGATGGGGCTAACCCAAATAGTGCTCTCGTAAAACGTAATATTTCTAAGTCGGAATGTTCTCCGCAAGTAGTGGAAAACAGAAATCTACAAAAACAGAAAGCTATCCTCTGTTATAAGACACTTAGCGGTCAAACACCTCAGTATTTACATGAGATGTTTACCTCTAGAAGGTGTCAGTATTCTCTCAGAAATTCTAATGGCAAGTTGTTTATTCCTAAACCTAATACTGATTACCTAAAGCGCTCCTTTTCTTACAGTGGAGCATTTCTCTGGAATAACTTGCCAGAATCGCTTAGATTATCACACTGATCTCTCACGGCGTTTAAAAGTAGTCTGGAATCACTATATATTATTCTAGACGAAGCGACCCCACATGGCAACCAGGTAGAACAGCTATACTCTTTCTTTTATCTCTACTTTCCCATTCATTGTATTTATTTTTATACTTAAAAACTTGTAAATAGCAATATTTTTGATGTACTGATGTTTTTTTCCGTGTTTAAATAAAGTTTATGTATGTGTGCATGTATGTATGTATATATGTATTGCCAATGAAATCGAAGTGCGTCACGCTCGCACTCCCTTATTCGCACTTGTAAAAATGCTTTCTCGATGTCAGCCGTTACTGCGACAGAATACATACGTTGATGAACTAGTATGTCCCATAATTTGGCTTGGAGAGGGGAACCAGGGTATAAACACTCGTTGAAGGAGGGGATGATCAGATGATGGACTTTCCTGGGCGGAAGCGTCGTAGACAACTCTCAATTTCGAGCTGGTAGATGACTCTCGGATGACTGCTTTGTAGGGTATGTAAAACTCGATTTTGGTGGCTCGTTTGCAGATTCCACCATTCCTTTTTCTTTCTGTTCATGGATAATTGAATCATAATCTTCGAGTATTTCATGATTTTCATCTCGTAACTTCCGAGTGAGGCTCTTCAGACGACGCAAACTTCGTTGCTCGGTAGGGATGGATGATTTCCTTTTCAGGGTAGTGCTGCTTCATACCAGCCCTTGGGATCTCTTCGCAAGTTCTCTTTAAATTCTTCATAGACTACTCCATGGTCATGCTGCACAGCGTCCTGAGGCCCAAACACATCCAGTCGACATAAATCTTCATAGTCTGACTGGTTGGTTTGGGTCAACAGCAGTTGTTTGTTAAACTTTATCGAGTACAAATTAATTCAACAAATATTCATCAAAACATGCAATTAAAAAGTGCTGTACTCAAACGGACAAGACACAAACTGACTAGACGTAAAGTCTATTGCATGGTGCCTCTCCTCTTCCTAACATAGACCTTTTAATTAAAGTCACAGTATACTGTACAGGGTATCCCCAAAAAACCAAAACCACTGAAACAACGCACCGCTAGAATCCGAACCCCTCAGCACCAAGCTGAACGCAAAGATGCGTAAAATAACGCAACCAAATTTTTGCGCAGGGGACATGAAGAGTGATGCTGGTGACTGGTTCTTGGTACTTTGCCAAAGACCACACTGTTGTTATACACTCCGGTAACTTACTTTCCCATTGTTTCTATCTCTTACCGAGGTCAATTGGTAGTGCTTGATCCCATCCACATTTTTAAATTGTACTCTTCTTGATACAGCATTTTCCAATGGTGACGCCAACCCCAGTGGGTCATAGATCTTTGCTACTTTCGTTAGAACTCCTCCTTTGGTTGCTTAGTACTTCCTCATGCAGTCGAAATAGTAAATGCTAATTGTGTCTTCGTTCTTATTCCATGCAAGTCCAAGGAGACTGCAGTTCCCGTTATCTGGCTGTCTCAGTTGCTGTTTCGCAAAGGTCTGATCCGTGAGTTCTCCTTCATGTTGGTTGGATTCCAGTGTAGCTTCGTTCGAATGCCATTTGTGTTGTTGAAAGGCAGCGTCCCCGAATATTTCTGTAGCTTCGCGTCATTGGTGGTTGTCGCACCTGATATCAAATCATTCACGTAGAGGCTTTTTTCAATTCAGTTATGCACAGTTTCTGGACTTTTATTGCGTCACACTTTAAGAGGTTGTTTGATCACTACGCCGAAAAGAAATGGAGATGGGGCGAGTCCGAATAATGCCATAGTAAACCAGAAGGTCTCCACCTCTTTGAATTCACATCTTTCAATCAGTGAAATCTAAAAGTATCTCTGTCCTCTTCACAAATTCGGACTTGTAAGAAGGCTTGCTTGATATCTGCCGTGAGGACTACAGGGTTAAATCGTCCTCTTACAAGAACACTCCAGAGTTGGTTTTGGAGTGGCGGACCAGGGTTCAGACATTCATTGAGAGATGGAGCATTATCTTCTACCCGCGCCGAAGCATCAAACACAATCCGAAGTTTTGTACTCTTTGCTTTCTCTCATATCATTGGCTCATGTGGAATGTAACATTCTTCGCCGACCACTGTGTCTGGGGCATGCTCTACGCCCTGGTCCACTACTCTCAGATTGCATCATAATCGTTGATCTTTCCTGATTTCTCTAGCTTGCGAAATAGCGTGTTCAATCTATGTAAACTCACATCTTTCCCAGTTGGCAGCCCCGGGTGATTCGGGAGCTTTTAAGCAATGAGTTTCTCGTTTTAGACGGAAATCCGTCTTAAATCCGTCTTAAATTTATATCAGACGAATAAATCAAGACGGGTTTCTGCTCGTAACGTTCAAAAGAAACTGGGATGGAGGGTCTCCTATTTTTTCGGGTTTATCCGTCTGATGGTTTTCGTTTCATACTCATACCAGACGGAAATCCGTCACACGAGTTTCCCGTCTTAGACCGAAATCCGTCTTCTAATATGAATTCAGCTACTATCTCCTTGAAATGTAAACTTACAAGGGAGTTCGACGCCATAACTAGCCCATCTGTTGACACGTGCACGTTTACCCTTGATTATTACTGTTCCTGAATTGGTTGCGCGTTTCAAAAATTTTGTTACCCACCACGCCATCAACTTAGGGATGTGACCAACAACTTCCATATCATTTGTCATTTCATTCGGATGAACGAAAGACTTCATCTGCAATTTTTTCTTCTGTAATCTGGTAAATCTCACAGAAGCGCTTGAGCTTTGCCTTTTACGAACAACAGCAATCGTTCGAAATGTACTTTTATGCTAATTATTTGCTAGATATCTTTTACTGTTTTGATACTCAAATTACACACCCAAATTTGCCTGCTGCTGTGTTTTTCTGCAAACCCCTTTTATTAAGCGGACACTTACGCGAGGACTCGAAGGTGTCCGCTTAATAGTGGTTCGACTGTATTTCAATCAATCAATCAATCAATCAATCAAACTTTATTTACCCACGGTACTATTTCACAAAGACAAAAACTAAAATATTTACAAGATGTGATCTTCCAATAGGCCGTGCTATATATGTATGAATAATTACATGCAATTATAAAAATATTTTATTAAGTTAATACAATAAAATCGAAGAGAAAAAGAAAAAAAGATAAATTGATTATCAAGAATTATTACCACTATTTGACACTAGAGCCCTTTTGAAGGTTGACAATGAACCCATATTTTTTATATTAGGTAATAAATCATTCCAAGCTACAGCTCCTCTGTACGAGAATGATTTTTTACAAAAGTTGGTACTTGGCCTCGGGAGTGCAAAGTTAAATTCAGCCTGCCTAGTTTGATGATTATGAAGTGTACTGGTTTTCGTGAATAAATCAATTAGGTAATCAGGCACCA